TAGACTTTTGAGAGGCACCTTTGCTTAGAATATATAGAAGATGTCATCCTCATCCTTGTGTCATTAAAAATTAAGTAAGCTGGAAATCTGGATGTGCATACTTTATTAACAGGTATTTATTACCTAGTGAAGGATAAGGATGACAGTTTTGGAGCTTACACCTTCAAAGACAACTTGGCAACTCCTACATTCAGATCCTTAGTGTTCCTTCCAAAATTGTATCCTATTTACTATAAAACGTGTGCTTTGTTGTTAGGAATATAAATGGACAGGCTTTTGATGAGACTCCTGCACCAGCCTTTTTTTTTTTTCTCATGTGAAAACACATTAACTTAGCAAGAGTTTTCTACCCTTTCAAAGTGAATTAGTCCTTCACAGTAAGCCCTTCAGTTAGAAGGATATTGTTCTTGGCAGGGTGCTCAGTTTTCTAATTACTAGATTCCTGCCTTAATTGCAATTATTTGGACACCCAGGCAGGCGGACCTTTTAGGAATGGAATGTAATTAGTGGTCAGAAGGCCTTGCAGTCTGCTTTGAGAAGGTTCATGTAGCAAACAGACATTGTTCCTACCTAACAAAATTTTATTTTTCTTTGTTGAAAATATTGCATATGAGGATGTCTGTTAAAAATGGCAGTGATGTGTAATTGTTCTTTTTTGAGGAAGCTATAATGTTATGGGTATGGTAGATAAATTCAATCATCTTGTTAAAGAGAATACATGTATGTGTGTATATTTATTTTAAAAGAAAGTATAGTATGTTTTTGCTAAGCACACATTTAGAGTAATGGCAGACAAGTAATCCTCACCAGTGACAGGACTACTAAAGGACCAATTATCTTTCCAAATAGAGTTGCTCTCTCTCTCTCTCTAGCCTGACTGAAATGTTGCTGCTTCGGTGATCCCTTGTTAAAAAGTGTGATTCTACAGTATTTCAGGGACAGTTATGTACAGACTCCATAGGGTTAAGTTGTTCCCTCACCTGGCTGATACTTCGCTAGCGGCACAATTGCCTGTCTGACATCAACCTTAAGATTATTTTTTCATTGTTTACATTAATGTGATTTCTGAATTATATTTTTGCATGATTGCACTGTCATGTTTATGTTTTGATAAGGAATGAAGAGATTAGGTAACCCAATAAGTGAAGAGGAGCTCAGTCACCAAAATGCCAAACTGCGTAGCAACTGTTAAAATGACTCTTGAGAAAGGTATGGGGACTGCCATTATAGGCCTTTTTAGTAATGCTTCATGCCTGGCTGTCTCTGACATCAGTATGTTTCAGGCACAGTCCCAAAATCAGCATGTTGTGAATGAGTGCCAGTAAAGTATCTGAGCTATTCATCCCTTTAACTCAGTCTGGGTCAGCAACTCAGACAGCACTGAAGTCAAATTTACAGCCGGGGAACTAGCATTCTAAAAGGAGAGTCCAATAAAGGTAGCCTCACTAAAGCCTGGTACACACACAAAAAAAAAAAAAAAAAAACTTAGCAGCAGCACAGTGGCTAAGTGGTTAGCACTTCCTCCAAGCATCACTGGGGTTGCTGGTTTGAATTCCAACCATAATACCTGCCTGGAGTTTGCATTTTCTCCCTGTGTCTGCGTGGGTTTATTCGGGGTACTCGGGTTTCCTCCCACACTCCAAAGACATGCTGGTAGGTTAATTGGATTCTGTCTAGATTGGCCCTAGTATGTGTATGTATGGATTGTACGTACGCTCCTTTAGGGCAGGGACTGATGCGCATGTGCAATATATATGTGAAGCACTGCGTAAATTGCCAAACACTATAAAAGTACCTGTAACATTAAATAATAGCTCATGGGGAGGTCTCAGTACTAACTATTTGATGTTAGTACAGAGATCATCCCGCTGTGCTATTATGTTATGACTGCCCCCACCAGTCAGTGCTCGCAGCCATTAGCTGAGAGTGCTGATCGGATGCCGATTGGCTGCTGGTTTTCCAGCATTGCCCGTTCAACAGAAGTCGGTTGTGAGATTGGCTTCTGTCAAGCAGGACCTGTACAGACAGGCCGAATGTTGGCCAGTAATCTACTCTATCAGCTGATTTCTGCCAATATTCAGCCTCTGTGTACAGAGCTTTAATCTCTCATGACAGTGTTCCTTTAAAATATCAGCCACACAGGGAGTGCCTTGTATTCAATGTGTTAGTCAGCGATTAGACTTGCATTGGGAGAATATTTGAAAGAAAATTATGCCGCGCTCCAATGCCAGTATAATCAAATTATTCCCTCTGACATAGTTTACATATTGAATATTGCGAGAGCAGTAAGGACTTTTTTACACTTGCGGTGTGTTTTACCACCCCCTACTCAAGCTGCAAAGGCTGCTGGATGAGGTTGTACACATTTTGCGGCCATGCTGAACGCAACCCATTCAAGTTAATGCATGTGGTTGCAGCGTGTTGGTGCAGCATTCACGGGGTTAAAACAGGTGGTGAGAAGTTGATATATTGCATCTCAAACTCCTTTAACATTAAAACTACCTTAGATCAGTCTTCAGAGGGGCTGGAAGCATATGCATAAACCTTTGTATGTAAGGAAACTTAAACAAAAGTTCAGCGCTCCTAATCAAAAAGACACAACTAATCTCACCACAAAATCACCATATGAGCGTTATGAACAATGACTTTCATCAGCAGCATAATCCATTAAAATATGAGGAACTCCTTCTCGAGGACGCAACGTGTTAGGCAGGGTGGCCTTGGTGATGACACCGCACTACTGGGCGGAGCCATCTTAGGATTTAGTAGGGAGGAGTAAACTGTTGATATTGCTGAAGATGCCACTGAATCCATAGTGGTGTGCCTGCATATTGTTTGCCTTTTGTGAGTACAGTATTTCTTTTATTTGAAAAATGTTTTTTACACAGAGAGCACTAGATGCCCCCATTTATTTTATCCATAGGGAACATTGCCCTTTGTTGAAAATAGAGAATTGAGGGAAGCTGGAGTGACAACCTGGATAATCTCAATTTAAAGTGGCACACAAGCTGGAAGTTGAAAATTCTATGGGGTTGATATATGAAAGGCAATAGCCTGTGCACTTGCTCTAGATCTGAAGGGAAGCTTTGCAATCAAGAGAAGCTCTGCTAGTTTCTATCATCCAATCATGTGCAAGCAAAAATGCTGTTTTTTTTATTTTTCTTGCATGTCATTGGGTATTCTTTGTAAAGTGAAGCTTTACCTCATTTAGTAAGTTCTGGAGCAATTGCACTCGCAGTGCATGGTATACAACCCCTGGCAAAAAGTATGGAATCGCCACTCTTGGAAAATGTTCATTCAATTGTTTAATTGTGTAGAAAAAAACTAATCACAAACATGCCTCAAAACTATTTTCATTTAACATTCCAACCTTCTGGGTTTATTATTATGCAGGATTTATGTAGCTCCAACAGTTTGCGCAGTGCTTTACAATATAAGGGAGGCAGTACAATTACAATACATTTCGGTACAGAAGGAATATGAGGGCCTTGCTTATGGAGCTTACAATCTAAAGGAAGGGGTTTTAATAAACACTTAAAAAAAATAAAAAAGAAAGAAAACTAGTCAGTTGCAACAGTTTTTGCAGATCAGAGGGGAAAAAAATGGAATCATGAAAAAAAAACACTACAGTGCACCAGTAGTACCTTGTTGCACCATCTCTGGCTTTCATAACAGCTTGAATTCTCTGTTGCATGGATTAAAACGATTGACAAACGGTATTCTTCATCAATCCGTCTCCACCTTTCTCTTATTGCAGTTGTCAGATCAGTTTTTCAGGTTGGAGCCTTGTCATGGACCATTTTATTTAATTTCCACCATAGATTTTCAGTTGGATTGAGGTCTGGCCCATTTGCAGACCATGCCATTGACATTATATGACTTTCTTGAAGGAAAGGTTTCACGGCTTTTCCCCTATGGCAAGATGTATCATCATCCTGAAAAATGTCATCAGCACCAAACATCCTTTCTATTGATGGAATAAGAAAAGTGTCCAAAATGTCAATATAAACTTGTGCATTTATTGAAGATTTAATGACTGTCATCTCCCCCGTACCTTTACCTGACATGCAACCCCGTATCATCAATGATTGTGGAAATGTGCATGTTTTCTTCAGGCAGTCATCTTTATACTGTTTGGAATGGCACCAAACAAAAGTTTTCCCGCCAAATATAGATTTGTGATTCATCACTGAATATCACTTTCATCCAGTCATCCACAATCCATGATTGCTTTTCTTCAGCCCACTGTAACCTTGCTTTTTTTCTGTTTAGGTGTTAATGATGGTTTTCATTTGGCTTTTCTGTATGTAAATCCAATTTCCTTTATGTGATGTCTTACAGTTTGGTCACAAACATTGACTCCAGTTTTTGCCCATTTGTTCCTCATTTGTTTTGTTGTGCATTTTCTGTTTTAGAGGCATCGCTTTAAGTTTTCTATCTTGACGCTTTGATGTCTTCCTTGGTCTACCAGTATGCTTCCCTTTTACAACATTCCCATTTGATTTGTACTTAGTTGTTCCTAGTCAATTGTGTCTAAAATCTAGGCCAACATCTTTTGCAACATTCCGTGATGGTTTACCTTCTTGAAGAAGTTTAATCACTTGCCTACCGGGCACTTATACCCCTTCTTTACCAGGCCAATTTTCAGCTTTCAGCGTTGTCGCACTTTGATTGACAATTGCGCAGTCATGCAAGATTGTACCCATATGAAATTTTTATCATTTTTTTCCTCACAAATAGAGCTTTCTATTGGTGGTATTTAATTGCCACTGGGCACTTTACTTTTTGCGCTATAAAAAAAAAAGAGCAAAAATTAAAAAAAAAAAAAAAGTTTCTTTGTTTCTATTATAAAATTTTTCAAACAGGTAATTTTTCTCCACTGATGTGCGTTGATGAGGCAGCACTGATGGGCACTAATAGGCAACACTGATAGGCAGCACTGATGGGCACTGATAGGCAGCACTGATAGCACTAATTAGGTGGCAGGGATAGGCGGCACTAATGATGTGCCACGGATAGGCGGCACTGATAGGTGGCACTGATAGACAGCACTGATAGGTGACACTGACTGGCATCACTGCTGGGCACTGACTGGTGGCACTGCTAGGCATTGACTGGTGCAACTGCTGGGCACTGGCTGGCACAACCACGTGGCACTGACTGGCAGCACTGCTGGGCTGCACTGATGGGCACTGGTGGGTGGCACTGATGGGCACTGGTGGGTGGGCACAGGTGGGTGCATTGCTGAACACAGGAGGGTGCACTGATGGGCACAGGTGGGCACACTGCTGGGCACAGGTGGGCAGAACTGGCGGGTGGCACTGCTGGGCACCGATCATCAAGGCACTGATCATCAGTGCCGATCCCTGCTCTGACAACTGCCGGTTCTCGGCAGTACTTTCTTTACGCTCTGACAGCGTGAGGAAAGTGCAGCCGAGAACCGGCAATTGCATTTCCCGGTGATCAGCGTGTCATTGCACACGGCTGATCACGTGGTAAAAGGCCGCTGTGATTGGCCTTTTACTACATCACGTGATCAGCTGTGTCTGTAGGACACAGCGATCCCGAGTTTGCGGGGTGCGCCATATGACGCCCTCCCAGAACTGGCCGGCCGCAGTGTAGCCATCATTCGGCTATCTGCGGTTGGCAAGTAGTTAATAACCATCTCCTTTGTTTCAACTGACATCTCTATTGAAGCCATGATACATGTCAATCATCTTGGTGCAACAGCTCACCAAGGTGTGCAAGCACTTTTTTTTTTTTAACTGCAGTCTAATTAGCAGATGTAATCTGATGTAATGCAGATGTTTGTTTTAGAACTGCAAAGTACATGGTGATACCATAATATTTTCCTCAGAAGTGAGTGATTCAATATTTTTTCCTATGCTTGATGTGCAAAAACTGTTGAAATTGACTACAGTTTTTTTTGTTTTTAATTTTTTTTTAAAGTGTTTCTTAAAGCCAGAAGGTTGGAATGTTCAATGAAAATAGTTTTGAGGCATGTCTGTGATTGTTTTTTTTTTTCTACACAATTAAACAATTGAATAAACATTTTTCAAGAGTGGTGATTCCATACTTCTTGCCAGGTGTTGTATTTGTCTTTAGCAAATCAACCCCTATGTTTTAAATGTTTGTCTTACTGTTAGTATTCTTTTAGCAATGTATGAGTATTTTATATTAACTAAAGGTATACGTTGTGGTATTCTAGTTGTATTTTATATTGTACAAAAGTAATGTTGCGCTGCTTACTTTTAAGGGAAAAATTGTGTTTCATATACTCCAAAGGTAATGCAGAGCTAAAGTCATTTTCCAACCTAATCCAAAATTGCACATCACATCAGACTGTTCAGAGGACAGACATGGGGTGTCCCCCACTCCTGTTAGTACAAATTGGAAAAAAAATATAAATGCTGTTGTTTTTAAATAGGGGTTAAAGTTAATCTGAAGAACAGGCCGTGTGCTTTCTGTCACTTATTGACAGATTGAAAATAAGAAATGGTGAAAGATGAAAGCATTGCTTCCCTCTTTCTATTATTGACTAGTAAAGCTGCTTTGTTCTGAGCTAATCTATTTAGAAACACTTAAAACACTAAAGAAAGGACTTCCTAAAGCTCTCAGTAGTTAGATCTAAAATAAGGTTGCCAACGTTTCTCAGTGTTAGATGTTCCATGTACCCCGTGACAGCAATGAGCCCAGTGGTTTTTCTGCAGAATAGGAGAAGGTTAAAGGAAAAGTTTGGAATTCAAAAGAAAATCTGCCTGGGATTGATTTTTGGTTTTAATTGTATTTTTTGTAAATTTGTTTGCAGTATTGTTGAGATTGATATATGTGTGTGTTCTACAGAGGGGAAAAAAGATGTTTGACAATGATTGTAGCTTGATTATGTTTGTTATGAGAAGATTTAATAATTTCTGGGGTTTTTTACATATTGCATAACTTCAGTCTTCAGCTGACTTTGTAGGATAGCATATGTCCAAAGGAAAATGAGATTTACACTGATCAAATCATTATCTGGAAGACAAAGATCATCTCCTAGTTACCATGAATACTTACATTTACGCTTGTTACTGATCTTTAAACTTAAAAGTCTTGTGTATTTTAGGTTTTAAAGGTCATCTAAGCTGCAGCCATTTCAGTTAGCTTTGACATATTTCTAGTTTATATAATTCTGACAAGTGTGTTCTTGAACATCCTTCTCTGCTTTCCCTACTTTCTCTGGTTTGAGAGTCTTCAGTGGCCTTTCCTGACTCCCTTGGGAGTGGCAGGCATTCTCCGCTGTCTCTGGTATAGACTATTTTTAACATTCTGCAGCTCCTTCTTGCCATCACCTCATCCCACAGTTTTTAATTAGTTAAATTCCACGCAATAAAAGAGATATACAAATGATAAAGGATGTCATTTCAAAATGGGGAACTGTTGAAATGACCATTGAGATACAGTTAACACATATTCCAATGACTCTGATCTTCACTCACTTGGTGTCAACCATATTTATTATATTAAAGCCTAACTCCATATTTAATGTCCCTTTTAAATAGTTTGTTTGGGCCAAGCTACTATTTAAGGGGGTGTTAAACATGGTGTTATGCTTTAATAATGAATAACAATTCAAAGTATATAGCAAACTCTAAAAGGTTTCAGTAGCATCATGGGATCTGAATGTTTTTTTTCCTGGTATCAACCGCATTTATTATATTAAAGCCTAACTCTACTTTTATTATCCCTTATAGTTTGTTTGGGGCAAGCTGGGCCAAACAAACTATTTAAAGGGAAGTTAAACATGTAGTTAGGCTTCAATAATGAATAACTTGTATATAGAAAATTCTAAAAAGTTTCAGTCTCATCAAGGGAGCTGAACTTTTTTTCCTGGCTCAGGTGTGTTCAACGACAGCATGCCATGCAGGAGTAATAATATATAGGGTAGATGTTTGAGGTGTTTCCAATAAACCCAGTGGTATCGAACTAGATTGCTAATTAATGACGCTCCGATTGATTCTGTGTCCTCTATTCAATTTGAAATACCCATTGAAATCAGTTAAATAGAGCGGGGAAGTACATAAAATCTGGTAAGGCCTCCCCCCCCCTCCATCTCCACCTATCAATTTTTAACTGACCACTTTCCATCTTAGTGTTTAGTGTGACTCCTTTCTAGACCCTGTTCTACTAATTTACTTTTAAACCTTTTTTTTAAGAACTATATATTGTCATTTTCAACTCTTACTTTGGCCAACTGTTGCGGCCCCTGACATTGTTAAATGCATTCTCACCTAAATTTATTTTTTAAAAAGTGTACTTTCTCCAGAGATAAATAGGAGGCTGCTATTGTTGACCTGAATCTAGAAATGCTAGCTACATTGCACTTACTTCAATACCTTGAATGCATGATTTGTAACAAGTATGCATAGAAGGACTAGTTCTAGGTGTATTGTAGAAATTGTATTTTGAGCTTGTTAGTGTGGTACTGGGGCTAACCAGTCAAAGGTGCGGGTGGGGGTATAGATCTGGTCCTGGCAATCAAAACAAATGTGAGTTCAGTTTGGATTGAGTAACATGATCAGTTTTTGAATCAACCATTATGGCAGTTGGAAAATACATTTTCTCATTTCAATAATCTGTTTCAATATCTGCATTTATCTATGCAATTCTGAGACTGCCTTTGCACTTACATATATTTATTTTTAATTTTTGCCTTTAGTGCTCCTTTAAAGAGGCATCAACCATCAATGTAAGTATCACGTGATAGTCATTAGTACATTTGACAAGTATACTAGCTGTAGGCTTGTGCTTCATTTTTTCATTCGACATATTTGGCTTTTATGGAAGCATTAGAAATTGTACATTTCAGGCAGAAAGCTGTTAGCTGGTTGCTCAGTGTAAAGCGAAGCAGGCCTATTTATATTCAGTGTCAGTATCTAATTGATGACCTGTTGCTCTGCTTAATGCAACTATTGCAGAATACATCATGGGCTGTTTATGCTGACCCCAGCCATCAGTATTGTACTGGCCTTTAGCCCAGGTCTAGTAAATGAACCCTGTTGGGAAATCATTAGAGAACTGAGCACGGTCCCAAGGTCAGACTTTTTTCCCCCCCCGATATCGGAAATTATTGCTAAATTGGAATTCTGTCCTTTTGCAAGTTGACCATATGTTAACATGATGGCCACCTGACTGAAAGTAAAAAAGGCAGAGGAAAAAAAAACTATTACTGCTATTTATTCGCAATTTTATATTTATTTAGGGAAGTGCAGACTCCAACTTCCAGTTTGTTTAATATATTGTTTACATTGATATTTTTCTTTTTTTTCTTTTTTTTTTAAGGAACACTTAAAACCAAGAACTTTCTGTTACATGTCAATAAAATCGTATTTAAATATAAGTATAACATTTGCAAATTAAAACAGGCCTGGACATTCATGAATTTGTGGAGAATTTAATGCAGTCTTTACTCACTAAGGTCTCAGTTATAAGCAGAAATAGATGCACAAATACAAAACACAGAGAACAAAAATTAGGGCTCAATGCAAACTGCATAAAATTAAATTCCAAAAGTTTTAAAATTGCCAATATCACAAGTCTTAGTGCCACTAGGTATACAACATAGATGTTGCCAAATTTGCATGGATGTGTATGAAGGTGGTGGTAGTTTGTTTTATGCGGTAAGTTCAAGTTGAGCACTAAGTTTTTCATGTTTGCTTTATGTATCTTATAATTGAGAAAAGCCTCAATTCACAAAAGCATAGCTCATAAATTTATTCATTCAAATGTTTTTTTGGTTTATTTTAATGCTTAACTTTTTTGTTTAGTTCAATAAAATGAATGCTATAAAATGGCTGCACAGAAGTGATAATTTTCCAAACAAGTTATTTTAACAATTTTGATATATATTGACAGTCAAAGTTAATTCACAAGGGATGCTGCTTGGATTTTGCTCATTTAAATACTTCTAGGTTCCAGCTGGCATAAACTCTGAGTTTCAATGAGGAGTCTGTTGCTGAGAAAAGAGAAAATGGTGGTGATAAATAATGCTTCATGACATAACATATAATAAAAATGATTTTACACCAAAGCAATAATGATTTGTGTGAATTTGCCACAATAATAACACATGGGGCTTTGTGAAATGAGGCTGTAGTGATGTCTCTGTTTTCATTTTCTTGTGTTTGGATAATGTTTCCATCCTTTACTGGCAAAGAGCTTTCTCATAATACTTGTAATGCTACTTTGGAGGGCAGTGATAGGACTTGCTAAGGAAATGTTCCTCAAATGTATTTTAAAGGGAAACTATTGTTTGTTTTTCACTGAGTACATATTTTACAATCACGTACATTTAGATGAAAGTAATTTAACTTACATCTGTAAAAAGGTGAGAAGTGAGCACTATATTATAGAGCAGCTGGGACACCAAAAAGGTACCAAAACAACCTCCCAGAATCAGAATATAAAATAAAGGTGCAGCGCTTGTATAAATATCATTAAAATTATCCAGCAATATGAATCGTATAGTAAAAT